ACATATGCGACATTCCATCTATAAGTATAGAAGCATAATGACAGATCGTATGCGTCATAGTGCGATCTTATGAATACGTTTTCATTTTGCAAAATTCATAAGGCCAACTTCAATGGCAAAGCTGAATACAAAAAATGCATGATCTCCTCAAAACGCACAAAAAAAGCGTTAATGGATTGGGATATGATCTTTTTAAAAACACACACACCTTTTTCCAATGAAACATACACATATTCAATGGTGACTGTATGGATAATAAAATAAAAAAAGGAAGTAGTAAAGCTATCTACAGGATGAGATGAAAAACTGCAAACAACTTCAGACTGCTGTCATTTCTAAGCCACTCGTCCGACAGCTGTTAAAATTATTTCAGTGACAGCATATTATATTGTTTAGAAGCGTACAAAAGCATAATGGTGAGAATTTTCCAGAGAAAAGTTATTCATAATGGAATTCAAGCGGTATAGTGTGATCTCTTTATTTTGGGCTGGAAAACTACAAATGGCTATCGTTAGAGAGCATTTTAATGTGAATAAATCTTTTGTGCCCCTTACCATCGCTCGTTGCCGTGATACTGGACGGAAGAAAACAGCAACATCAGCATAAATTGTTCGAAAAGTAAAGACGCGAATTGATCGAAACCCCCGTCACAGTGGCCAAAAAATGGCTCCTGAGCTGAACATATCGCAATATTCCATTCGGCAAATATTGAAAAATGAGCTCGGGGTAAAGCCATTTAAATTCCAAAAAGTGCAAGAACTTACACGGCAACCGAAAGAAAGTAGACTCAAAAGAGCTAAAGAGTTGATTCGCTTGTCCGAAAGTGGTGAACTGGCAAATTTGATTTTCTCCGATGAGAAAACATTTGTTGTCCAGCTGTTTTTAAACAAACAAAATGATCGTGTTTACTTGCCAAAGAGGTCAGTTGAAAATGTGCTCCTTCGGTTGGCCACCAGAACTCAAGCGCCGGCCATGGTGATGGTGTGGGCCGCCATAACAGCCGATGGTCGCTCTCCGCTCGTTTTAAATGCCGAAATGCCGATGACGACTGTGACGAGAAATTCATGTTGATGTGGTGTGGTGGTCATGATGATGATGATGGCGTTAAGGCAAAACCAAAAATAAAACAAAAAATAAATAAGGCAAACACCAACAACATACCTACCAAAAGAAATACCACAAAAGTGTCATTTTTGAATCATTATTTTTGTTGTAGAATGTTTTTTATGTTCGAAGATATTTTTTGTGGGGCTTTTTTCGAGTGAGTTTGTTGTAAAACAATGTCAATGAATTTTAGATGCAGTTGGTTTGAAAAAAAAAAAAAACGCACACATCGAGGGAGATTGGTATGGTGTGCTATGGAAGGAAATATTTTAAGTTGTGGCATAAAAATAAATCAGGCATTTTTGAAATACTTATTAAAATACCCATCTCTTAAATGTTACAGATACTGTCGTAGCCCTACTCTTTTAAGAATAGGAACTTGAATATGTACAACTCTTCCCATGGATCATACAGGTGTGTGTGAGAGTCCCATTACCATTTCGAAATGTTTTGGATAATATTGGGGTTTTCCAATACATCTCCATATCCGTTCCATAGAAAAGCCACGTTGACTGGATAAGTTCATTTCTAAATCGTATCTGGGGCTCAAAAGCCTAAGACTCATAGATCGTCTTCAACATGTGCCTCTTTGATGGTCGGACGGGTTAATTGGAGAGATGATTAATTATTTTTTCTTATGATCGGATTTTTTTAATATTGATCTGGAAAACGTTTTCTTTTAACAAAAAAGGAACTTTATGCGCTCTTACGAGTCTCATTTCCTCTCCAAGAGGTCATCGATTACCATTGCTACACCTTGCTACATTCTTCCTTTTGGGGCTACGTGAAAGATAAGGGCTACGCCAACAACACAGCATGACCTGACCTTTCACATTTTTTATATCCTCCACCATAGTATGGAGGGTATATTAAGTTTGTCATTCCGTTTGTAACACCTCGGAATATATATTTTAGACCCCACAAAGTAAAAATATTCTAGCGATCGACTGTGGAAATCACTCTAGCTTCCAAACGAAATGAAGTAGGTTGATAAAATTTTACTCAAATGTATATTATGTCTCCAGGACTTTTGGTATTGAAAATGGGCCATGTAGATCCACGTTTTGGTATAGCCCCCTTTATATAATGGTACCTCCCTTTTTTCGGTATTTTGGCGATTTTAGCGACATTATTCACCGGAATTGTTTCAAATTTGGTATTTGAAGTTCTTAATGGATACTACAGCCTATGACAGAAAATTGTCTGTGCCGGTCCACGTCTTCGTATAACCCCCATATAAAGGTACCTCCCGATATTCGGTATTTGGCTGATATTAACGACATTATTGACCAGAACTGTTTCAAATTTCGTATTTAAAGTTCGGAATCGTTACTAAATCCTATGACAAAAAATGACTTATGCAGGTAAGTCAGGGGTATTTTTCGTCGCATTTTTTTTTTTTTTTTGAATTGAAAATTTTCAACTTTTTTTCCGCTTGGTGGAGGGTATAAAAACTTATCTGCCATTTTTACTTATTACGTACTAAAATTGTTCATTTTTTAAGATCTTATGTATGTATGCTGGTAAATCTCAGTCAGAGATTATACCCTTAGATTTGAATAAGAAAAAAAATTGTGAAAAAAATTTTAGAAATCATTTTTGGTTCGTCATGATGGAGCTTTTCGGAGGATGCTTGGACAAGTTAGTTCACTTTCCTCAGGAACATATAAGAATATTGATGTAGCAGACCAATGGCTTGAAGAAATCCCAGTTTGTCCATCATTTATGTTCCGTCTTTTTATACCCTCAGCCATATGGCTTGAGAAGGGTATATATATGATTTGATACGGCCTCTTCGAAATAAACCCTAGGTCTCTTTTTGGACCAAATCCGTTTCAGGACACTTGGTGTCGATCTAGCGATGTCCGTCTGTCTGGCTGGCTGGTGCGCACCATAACTCTCGAAGGGAGAATTCGATTTGATCCAAACTTGGCACATCCCGATATTGTTGTTAAACTTAGATCGAGTTCGGAGATGGGCAAGATCGGCTCACACTTTCTGGTACCACCCACACAAAATGTCAAGATTTTCAAAGAAAATAATTTACTGCACAGAAAGCGAAAGTATAATCCGACTTTTTCCAATTTTGCAAATCCAAATATAGGGTGAGATAAAAAACAGCAACAAAAGCAAAAGCCATAATTTTTACATTTTTTTTTTTACATTTTATTGAATGAAAGCAAAAAATGTCGGAAATAGTATCAAATTTTAGAATAAGTTTATATTTGTTCGAATTGGTCATCTTTGGCACGAATTATGGCCAATGAAACCATCACACGCTGCCTGAATGTTACTCTGCGGTATTTTGGCCTATTACCGGCGAAGCGCGTGCTTGAGGTGATCGACAATTTGGTATATTTTAGTGCCAACCTTGCTTTCCAAAATACTCTAGACACCATAGTCCAACGGATTGGTATCCGGAGATTTTGGTGGTCATTGTGCGCAGGAAATGGAGCGTGGAACCTCATTTTGTAATTATTCTTGGGTGGAGCGTGCTCAGTGCGATGGTGCTGAGTCCTGTTGGAATGTCCAAGATCTGCGGCCAAAATGTTTGCATGCCCAAGGCTTTAATACACCCTCTAGAATATTTTCGCGATAATATTCGACAATTATTATGATGCCACGGTCGATTAATACGAGCGGAGAGCGACCATCGGCTATTATGGCGGCCCACACCATCACCATTGCCGGTGCTTGAGTTCTGTTCTGGTGGCCAACCGAAGGTGCACATTTTCAACTGACCTCTTTGGCAAGTAAACACGATCATTTTTTTGTTTACAAACAGCTGGACAACGAATGTTTTCTCATCGGAGAAAACCAAATTCGGCAGTTCACCATTTTCTGCCATGCGAAGCAACTCTTTAGCTCTTTTGAGTCTATTGTCTTTCTGTTGCGGTGTAAGTTCTTGCACTTTTTGGAATTTCAATGGATTTACCCCGAGAACATTTTTCAATATTTGCCGAATGGAATATTGCGATATGTTCAGCTCACTGGGACGCGGGTTTCGATCAAGTCGCTTTTTTACTTTTTGAACCATTTCTGCTGATGTTGCTGTTTTCTTCCGTCCACTTCCACTTACTTGACATATGTCGGGCTACGCTACCAGTATCACGGTAACGAGCGATGATACGAGACACAAAAGGTTTATTCACATTTAAATGCTGGAGTGCTCTAACTATAGCCACTTGTGGTTTTCCAGCTAAATATAAAGAAACAAACTATCACGCTTGAATTCCATCACGAATAACTTTTTTTCTGGAAAATTTTCACCAACATACTTTTGTACGCTTGTAAACAATTTAATGAGCTGTCACTGGAATAATTTTAATAGCTGTCGGACTAGTGGCTTAGAAATGACAGTTGGTTGCAGTTTTTTCATCTCACCCTGTTTGAATATATTGAATATATAATATCAACTTAAAAATGATGTAAAATATCATCCCCAAATTCCCATACGCCCCTCATATTTAGTTTTGTTGTCTGTTTTTGCTGTGTTCCGCTGATATTCGTAATTTTGGCGTTTGTGTTTGTGCTCATTGAGAGTCAACTACTAAGCTGGGTTGTCACGAGGTGACTCATATCCACTAAGCCTCATTTGTTGTGACGGCGATGACGACTACAACGACGACGATGGAGGCAACAACTGGGGGCTACTAAACCGATCGCAATTTGTGAAGAATTTTTGTTTATTTTTCGTTTCAAGTTTTGAAGAAAAAGTTAAACGTTGTCAACAAATTGTGTGTGTTTGTTTGTGCTTGGTAAAGCAACCACAACAATAACAACAAAATTATAATTAATTCCTAAAAAAACAAAAACAAAACAAAAATTACGATTTCTAATTCTTCTTTGGATTTTTACTAACATTTCTTTCCCCCTCTCATTGTTTGTCTTTGCAGTTTAAATTAATAGAACTTCAAACTGGATAATTTACAAAGTTACGTCATTGTTTGGACCTCGGCTGTAGGAACAAAACCACCGCTGTATAAGAAACCTAGACAAAATCACCACCGATTACGTCCCCGTCTAATTAAATTCGAGCCAGTCTAAGTGAAAAGTCGCCGCACAATTGTGTGTGTGAGTCTGTCTGTGTGTGTGCACATGTATGTGTGTTTTCGTAGACCTGTATTTTGGCCTGAAACAACAAACCACACTGCACAGAGTCAGATTTGTTGGGAATTCAAATTTTGAAAATTTAAGATCGATTCGACGAGTAGCCCAGACCGTAGCTAGCAACAGCAACACCACCTGTTCTAAGACTTAAGAATCGGGTGAAGCTCCCAAAACAAGGTAAGCTGTTGTTCGTGTGTGGCCGGAAAGGGCTCCAAGTCGGCCGTTTAGTGGGCAAAAGAAAAGTGCCAATATCAAGAAACTAGTCAAACTGAAGCAGTTGTCGGAAGACGTTACGGTGCTGTTGAAAATCGAAAAAATGGACAGCATCGTCGAGGAGAACGGCAACTCCTCGAATAACATAGACGATACAGCGGGCGGTGGCAATGGTAGTGGCGGAGGTGGCGGCGGCGGTCACAATCTATCCATAACATCATCCTCACAACAACCTGCCACGGTACAAGCGACACAAATGAATCTATCAAACTCAAATAGTGTACAACAACAACAACAGCAGCAGCAGCCACCACCTCCTAGCCAACAAACACCGGTACCGGTGCCGATATCGGTGGCAGCGGCCGCTGCTGCGGCCCTAGCAGCTGGTTCTGTTTTGACCACTACCTCCAACGTTGTACAATATTTACCAACTCCACATAGTTTGCCCGTAAGTGTAACCTTTTTCGAAATTTTAAGGCATTTCAATTTGTTAATCTATTTTTATTTTGCCAGGTTCAATCTGTAATACAAGCAGCCAATCAATCGTCGGTCATACAAACAGCGGCCGGTAACAATTCACAGACACATGTTGCCATACCCAAGGGCACTGTTGTATATAAAAATAATGCCACAGTTATACACACAACATCAGGCAATGCTGTCCAAGTAAGTTGCACCACCAACACCACCATCGCCTTCAAAACAAGGAAACAAAAATGTCCAGCCACCCTTTTTTCTTCCCCTCGTTCCCATGTCCACCACATAGTTAGGGGCTCGAATGTTTTTAGGGATCTTTCGGAAATATGTTTGTAGATCGTGTTGGGATTAGGTTTGTCAAAAAAGGATTTTCAGAGATCTTTCAGAAATATGTTTTAGAGTGTTTTTGAAGGCACTTGTAGGATCAAATGCAGGATCATAAGAATATTTTTAAAGGCTAAACAGCTCGGATTTTTAGAAATATTTTTGGATCGTAGATTTTTAAGTTCAACCATGATTTTTTAAGAATAATTTTTAAAGTCCAAACAGAGATCGACCACACCTTTGATTTATTAAAAAAGATCGGTTTAAAGCTCAATACTGGACTTATCCTATTTCATTCCAAACTATATTCCATCTTCAACCATGGAATTTTTATACCCTACACCACATAGTTTTTGTGCATTTGTTTCTAACATGGAGAAGGCAGCGAGATAGACCCAGAGTTACATTTGAGGATCCTCATCAAACTACATTCTGAGTCTATTTATGCATATCAGTCTTTCTGTCCGTCTGTCCATGTATTCTTGTGAACAAAATGCTGGTCGCATTTATTATCCGATTGAGATGAAATTTTGTTTGGTCCAAGGATGAACCCTATTGAAATTGGTGATAATCGGATCAGATTTGGATATAGCTCCCATATGTATCTTCGACCGATTTCGGTTTATTTGTGCACCAAATGGTCAATATCAATCCAAATCTCCTGAGTTTTGGTTCATCCGACCGAATGCAGTCTAGAAGAAAGTACATCAAATTTTGGTGAAAATCGGTTCAGATATAGGTATAGCTCCCAATATATATTTCTTCCGATTTCTTGTTTAAGTCCCTCACATTCGTAATATGCATTCGACAACAATGATATTTGATACCAGATATCTTATAGAGAAATACTTCTGCCAAATTTTATCCAGATCGCTTCAAATTTGGATATATCTCCCATATATATCTTCAACCGATTTCGGATTAATTGTGCATCAAATGGCCAATATAAGTTCAAATGACCTGAATTTTGGTACATCCAACCGAATTCAGTCTCAAAACAAGTACTTCAAATTTAGTTAAGATCGGTTCGGATATAGCTATAGCTTCCATATGTATGTTTCATCTGATTTGGAGTTTAAGTCCCTCACATTCGTAATATGCATTCGACAACAATGATATTTGATACCAAACATCTTATAGAGCTCAGAAATACCTCTGCCAAATTTGGCCCATCCGACCATACTCAGTCTAGAAGCTAGGATATCAAATTTAGTGAAAATCGGTTCAGATATAGGTATAGCTCCCATATATATTTCTTCCGATTTCTTGTTTAAGTCTATCACATTAGGAATATGTATCAGTTCAGATTTGGATATATCTCCCATATATATCTTCAACCGATTTCAGGTTAATTGTGCACTCAATGACCAATATAAGTCAAAATGACCTGAATTTTGGTACATCCAACCGAATTCAGTCTCAAAGCAGGTACTTCAAATTTAGTTAAGATCGGTTCAGATATAGCTATAGCTTCCGTATGTATGTTTCATCAGATTTGGAGTTTAAGTCCCTCACATTCGTAATATGCATTCGACAACAATGATATTTGATACCAGATATCAGATACAGCCCAGAAATACCTCTGCCAAATTTTATCGAGATCGGTTCAGATTTGGATGTATGTCCCATATACATATCTTGAACCGATTTCGGGTTAATTGTGCACCAAATGGCCAATATCTGCCCAAAAGTCCTGAATTTTGATACATCCGAGCAAATTTAGTTCAGAAGCAAGTACATAAAATGTGGAGAAAATCGGTTCAGATATAGCTATATATATGTTTCGTCCGATTTGGTGTCCCTCACAGTCGTTGGTCTAAAACCCTTATTTCTATGAGGCACGTTTTGGCCGTATCAAATGATATATACCCTCTCCAGCCATATGGCTGAGGGTATAACTAGCCATATGGCTGAGGGTATAACTAGCCACGTGTCTGAGGGTATAAAAACACGAAACAGGCATCCGATTCTCTTCAAATTTTACATATCCCAATATTTCTACTAACCTAAGATCTGGTGTGAAGATACAATTGGTATTGTTTCTAGGATGGTTAGTATTGAAAATTAGATATATCGGTGGACGGTATTTTGATATTCGGTATTTTGGAGATTTTTACCACATTTTCCACGAATTTGTCTAAAAATTGGTATTTGTAGGTCATAATGGGTTCTAGCTCCGGTGGCGAAATGTTGTATGTATAGGTCCACATTTTTGTATAGCATACCTCCAGATATTCGGTATCTTGACTATTTTTGCCACATTTTTCAACGAATTTGTCTAAAAATTGGTAAAATGGGTTCTAGCTTCCGTGGCAAAACTTAGTTTTCCTTTAGCGCACGTATAACGATTCCAGCCGATATTCGGTATTTTGATAATCCTAGTCACATTTCCCACGAAATTGTTTCAAATGTGGTATATAGGTTCCCGTTTTGGTATGGCCCTGGGATTTTGGAATAATGGCCTCACCCACTTTGAGGAACGAATGATTTTTTAGATAGTTTAATTATGTATACCAATATTATGTTTGAATCTTTCCTTCTACTCCAAGGGTGTATCATCTATAGAAGCTTTGCGAAAATTGTAGAGCTTTAGAATACAGTCAGATTGTAGCATTAGCTTTACTTGTTTTAAATAATTTTTCAATTTTGATTGTCTACTCGAAGGGATAGATTTTAGCAGGTTTTTATAACTTTGGATATACTTCGGATTAGTGTAGATTATTTTACCAATAAAAAAATTATACTCCCTTCATAATCATCACTTTTAAAATTTTATCCTAATATATGTTCAATTGTTATGTAATATCCCCTTTTTTTGTTTTTATCCCATCATTATCATGACCGTTTTGCACCACCAACAACAACAACCTGTCCAACAACACTACAACAATAAATTATAATAACCGCAACAACAACTAAAGCTTCCTCCAAATTTTCCCTGCAAGATAAAACCAGAACCGAATACACACCACCTCGACACAAACAGTGAAGATAGTTACACCGATGAGGATTCACCACGTGGCCGAAGGGAACTTACACGACGACCATCGTACAATAAAATCTATTCGGAAATTAGTGGACCCGATATAACAGGTAATTGAATGAATATTTTTTTGTCATGTTTTTTTGATGCTGTTAACCGAAAAGCAAATGCAAATTATTTGTCTGTATGTCTGTCCCTCTCATACTCATCAAAATCATCCATCCATCCATCATCGTTATCGTTATCACATCGCAATAAAATCAAAATTGCATTGCAATATTGCATTTAGCCAATCTATATTTGTTATTACAAAATTGTTTCCTTAAAACACCAATTACCTCCACCGCTGGCATTACTTACTTCGCCTTTGTTGTTGTCATTCATCAGCCACATTTTGTGTTTTTCCATTTAGCGCAATTTATGAAACAAAAAAGTACAGCTCATTCATTACATTTCCCTCTTTTTTGTAACATTTTTTAATTGTTGTTGTTTTAACATCCGAGTGCAGCATTACAACAAAACGTATTTGAAATCATTAATTATTTGCATTTTGTGTCGAGCCATAACTATTTTTCTAATTTATGTATAATTTTCGTTCGTTCATTTTGTAATTAATCATCATGAAGATCATTTCGTATGTGGTTTACATTAAAAGATTAACCTCGTCTATTTGAAACTACAATTACAATTACCTACAGGCTTTCGACAGAATCATTGAAATTTAACTTTAAAAAACAATTCTAAACAAATAATGTATTTCGTGGGGGTCTTCCATGAGTAACTCTTCTCATTGACTATTTTATAGGGCAGTAGCGGGATTCACTATTTTTTTTAATTTACCGACCAAAATCGTTTAAAATAAAATTCTTATAATTTCGGTAAATAACGACATTTTTGGAGAAGTTAGCAACCCAAATAATGTAGTCGCCAGGTCCTACCCATACCAACATGTTGTCACCTTTAATTCTAGAAGTTAAATTAACGCTGTTTCCAATGGCATTTGAACTTCCTTGTTTGTTCTCAAAATTACACACATGAATTATCGAGTTCATACAACACGATTGGTAGTTAAAAGTAATATAATTGTTATACCCTCCACCCTGGAATGGATGGTATACTATATTTATCTTTCCCTTTGTACCAACTTTAAATATTTGTCGAAATACAGCCCAAATTAATTGATATGTATATTTATTAAAGAGGAAAATATTTGTACGTTTGATTGTTTGCTTGTAATTTATAGACTCAAAAACTGCTAAACAGATTTTCCTGAAAATTTCCAAATTTATTACAACATTGCCTGAGAGTAACATAGGCCATATACATTTTTGAAATTGCACTTGGAACTTGAGATATGGCATCAGAGCAGGAGGTACCCTCAAGAAATTTATTTTTTCTATGCACATATCTATTGATCGGTTATAGATGCAGTATTCAAATTGTCAATTTTTAACGGAATTCGGTATAAAATTAAATGTTAAAAATCATATTGAAATCTGTTCAGTTTTGGATTTAGCTCCCATATATATTTTCGGACGATTTCACATATCTGATGCATCAAACACGAAATGTATGTCTGATTCCAATGAAGTTTGGAACAATTTATAACAAAAAAAAATGACAAATTATATTGAAATCTGTTCAGTTTTGGATTCAGCTCCCATATATATTTTGGCCGATTTCACATATCTGATGCATCAAACACGATATGTATGTCCGATTCGAATGAGTGACGGAATTTGGTCTACCAATAAATTTGTCAAATTAGAGAGGTTCAGATATTGATCCTATATAATTTTTTTCAGACGATTTCATGTATTTAATCCACCTAACACGATATGCATGTCAAGTTTCAATGAAGTTTGGATTGTCTGACGGATTTTGATCTAAAAATAAATTTTGACAAATTATATTGAAATCGGTTCAGATTTGGATATTATTTTATTAGGAAACATACACCCGCAACGACTTTGCAATGACATTTGGCTAACAGTAAAAAAAAAGGCTACGATTATTACGGGAAAGTGTGTAGGTTCAGTTGTACAGCGATTAAATTTTAAATAGTGCATTTTCCTGTACCCTTGGCTGGACAAATTCTTCGTGTATGCGGACTTAATTTGGCATGTTCCTGCTTTTCTCATGGTCAGCTCGATTTGGGATGTTCAGGCGTTAGTAGAGCGAGAGATTTGTTTGTTTACGCATTAAAACATTACAAGAAATACGTTTTAGGATCCTTGAATTTGTTTTATTTTTTAACAATCACAAAATGTTTATGTAAAATTTTGAATGCATATAATAGCAGAAGGAGTGGAGAAGCGCTCCGGGTTCAGCTAGTAGACCCCATAAAACATAATTTTCGGATGTTCGGTATTTTGACGATTCTAGATAAGGTATTTGATGTTCCTATTTTCGGTGACAGAATATTGTCTATATAGGTCCACTCTTCTCATTTAGACCCCATTAAACGGTACCTCCCAAATCACTCTAGCTTCCGAACGAAATGAAGTAGGTTAATACAATTTTACTTAAATGTGTATTTTGTCTGCATGACTTTTGGTATTGAAAATGGTCCAATGGTGCCTACCTTTTTTCGGTATTTTGGTGATTTAAGCGACAGTATTCACCGGAAATCTGTCAAATTTGGTATTTGAAGTTCGAAATGGATACTACAGCTTATGAAAAAAAAATTGTCTGTGCAGGTCCACGTCTTCGTGTAGCCCCCATATAACGGTACCTTCCGATATTCGTAACTTTGTTGAGTTTAGCAACATTATTCACCGGAATTTTTTCAAATTAGGTGTTTGAAGTTCGTAATGGATACTACAGCCTATGACAGAAAATTGTCTGTGCAGCCTCAATTAAATTGCCTCATATAACAGTACCTCCCTATATTCGGAATTTTGATGATTTTAGCTACATTATTCACAATTTTTTTTTCAAGTTTCGCATTTGAATATTGTAATGCCTTATGGCAAAAGTCGTCTATGCAGGTCCACGTCGTCGTATAGACCATAACATAGCAGAATTTTTTAACAGAATTTTTAACGGATTTTATTTTTTGAAAACTGCCAAATTCGTTGCTAATGGTTTAGGGTATTCAAAATTCACATTGAAACATAAACCCACTTTCGATAAAAAAAAATTATTTTTGTGAATTTCGATTTTATCATAAATGTACTTCAATAATGAAAATGTAAGAGTTACACATTATTATTATTAAACAAACAACTAATAACATTATACATATAACACGCACATACACACACACGCTCATATACATACCACCTATACATAAACTACCAAGGGACGATGAAGGAGTCTCACCCAAAAATCGTTCATTCATGTCTTCAAAGAAAAATCAAATCACACAGCTTATCTTCGAATAACAACATCTCCTCCCTCCTAAATGTAAATGTCTTTAGATGGGCAACCAACGATGCACTGCACAGAACCAAATGGAGGAGAAACAACTTCCATTTAACCCATCATTACCTTGTGTGCTTGCAAACGAAGGGACACATTTACAAACCGACCGCCAATCATCTTTTATGTTCAAATTCCGTTTTTTTTTTTTTTGTTGATGTCTTGTACTTCCTAACCCCAACAACCACATTTTTCATACATTTTTGTAATTTAATGTAACTTTTGTGTCCGGCAAATGTTTTCTTAACTAACAACTATGGCGCTAACTAACATCACAACAACAACTACTAACTCGTTGCGAACACCACGTAAAAAATTGTAAATTTCCCTGAGTTTTCTTTTTTTGTAATTTTTTGTAAAGTTGACTTCCCGTCTCTTCTTGTATCTACCACCCACCAACCTATTTCCCTTCACCCCTCACCATACAAGAAACGCTTCTATTTTGTTCATTATCAAGCCGCAGGAAAATCAATTTCATCTCAAAGTCGCCCGCCCCTCTCAGAGCAGCTTCCATTTAAACGTTTTTCCTTTTACTAATCAACCAAAGTCCGTAGCAAAATTATTTGGAAGAAATTTAATTTAATTTTTTTCTGTTTATTGTTTTCTTTTCTTTATATATCTTGTTTTTGCAACCAAAACAATTTGAAACTATGATTTCCAATGGCAAATTTTGAATTTGAATTTCGGGTTTGCGTGTGTGCCCGTCCGACCGCCCGCCCTTCCAAACAACCAACCAACAAATCAATCAACCAAACAACCAACCATTTCCAAACGACAACAACAATGATGACGATGACAACAACAACAAACAACACTTTATACTTTTGTTTTGAATGAAAACTCTTACATTTTCATTGCAAATTGAAAACATATCTATTTTTTTGTTGGGTCAAAAAAGGTGGACCAAATTTACAAATGTCAGACAATGTTGGTATACCCGCCTTAGCACCTGGTTCGGCTGGATCCGGAACTGGTTCTTTAATACATTTACCTCCAGATAATACATCAACATTTTATTTAGCCAATAGGATACCATATAATCCTAGTAAATATCCCAATAACAGTAACAAATATCCTGGCAAATGGTTTTGTAGATTTTAGATATTTTTTTTTTTCAATTCAATTTTAAATGATTTTAATTCTGTTTATACCCTACACTGCATAGTGGTAGGGTATTATGTCTTTGAGCATTTGTTTGTAACATGGAGAAGGAAGCGAGATCGACCCATAGTTACTTTTAAGGATCTTCATAGAATCACTTTCAAAGTCGATGCAGGTCACATTCGATTAAGATGAAATTTTGCAAACAATATTAGATTGGCCCAAAAACGTACCCCTATTGAAATTGGTGATTATCGGATCAGATTTAGATATAGCTCCCATATATATCTTCAACCGATTTCAGGTTAATTTTGCACCAAATAGCCAATATCAGTCCAAATGACCTGAATTTTGACATATCCCACCGAATTCAGTCTAGAAGCAAGTACATCGAATTCGGAGAAAATCGGCTCAGATATAGATATAGCTCCCACATATATGTTTCATCCGATTTGGGGTTTAAATTCCCTCACAAGCGTAATATGCATTACACAACAACGATCTTTGGTACCATATATCAAATACAGCTCTGAAATAAGTGTGTCAAATATTGTCAAGATCGGTTCAGATTTGGATATAGCTCCCATATATATATTTTTCATCCGATTCGGTGTTTAAGTCTCTCACATTCGTAATCTGCATTCGACAACAATGATATTTGGTAACAGATATCTTATAGAGCTCGGAAATACCTCTGCCAAATCTTATCAAAATCGCTTCAGATTTGGATATAGCTCCCACATATATCTTCAACCGATTTCGGGTTAATCGTGCACCAAATGGCCAATATCTGCAAAAAAGTCCTGCATTTTTTGGTACATCCGACCGTATTCAGTCTAGAAGCAAGTACATCAAATTTTGGAGAAAATCGGTTCAGATATAGCTATAGCTCCCATATATATGTTTCATCCGATTCGGTGTTTAAGTCTCTCACATTCGTAATCTGCATTCGACAACAATGATATTTGGTACCAGATATCTTCTAGAGCTCGGAAATACCTCTGCCAAATTTTATCAAGATCGCTTCAGATTTGGATATAGCTCCCATATATATCTTTAACCGATTTCAGGTTAATTGTGCACCAAATAGCCAATATCAGTCCAAATGACCTGAATTTTGGCATATCCCACCGACTTCAGTCTAGAAGCAAGTACATCGAATTCGGAGAACATCGGCTCAGATATAGCTATTGCTCCCATATATATGTTCTATCCGATTTGGAGTTTAAGTCCCTCACATTCGTAATATACATTCAACAACAATGATATTTGGTACCAAATATCTTATAGAGCTCGGAAATACCTCTACCAAATTTTGTACAGATCGCTTAAGATTTGGATATAGCTCCCATATATATCTTTAACTGATTTCGGGTTAATTCTTTCCTTAGACCAAAAACCCTTTCTATTTTCAAAAACTTCTCGGTTTATGGTGTCCTTGGAAAAGCAGGGAAAATGTTTTGAACAAATCACAGAATTTTTGATTTCCAATCAATTCTACAAAACCATAAGCTGGGTATATTTCCTTTATTTTTCAAAATTATCTTTTATTTCTTTCTGATCTATTTCTATTTTTCTCTCCAAATTTCCCCCCGTTTAGATAACAATGTCATGGCCGAGGATCAAACGCGAAAACGTGAAATACGCTTGCAAAAGAATCGTGAGGCAGCCCGAGAATGTCGCCGGAAAAAGAAGGAATACATCAAGTGCCTGGAGAATCGTGTGGCGGTGCTGGAAAACCAAAACAAGGCTCTGATCGAAGAGCTGAAATCGCTCAAAGAGCTTTATTGTCAGACCAAAACAGATTGAGACAGACCCCCCAGTCTGGATAGTGTGAGCATTATTAAAGATAACCGCCAGCATACCAGAGAAGAAGACGAACAACAGCAACACGAAGAAAGAGAGGAGGAGGTAAACGAAGAAGAAGAACACATAGTTGAAGAAGTGATTGTAGAACAAACAGTTGTCGAGGAATTGAGTGAAACGGAAATTGAAAATCATGAACAAATTGAGATGGCAATTCCCAACAACCGGATCTTGGTTTTGAGCAAGTCTCCGGGCTCAGCTACATCCAGCATAGCAACACAGCAGCTAACAGGCTCCTCCTGCTCTACAGCCAATTCTTTGCTAACAGCTGCCGTTTCTGCTGCCTCTGCCTCTACTGCTCCGCCCTCGGTTATAACCTTACACAATGCCCACTATCTAGATGTACGAAAATCTTTGCTTCTACACAAAGCTTTGGTGGAGGATCCAAAACAAGGTAGAGTGGTAGTGGTGTGTGCCACCACTCCAACAACAACGGCAACGGTTGCAGTTTCTCCTCCCACTGCTGTCACTTCTTGCATAAGGCCCACTACCTCGGCTGTAAATGATTGTGAACCTGATTAGAAATTTAATAAAACGTTTTTCTTTTTTCTTCTTCTACTTTTTGCAAATAAAACAAAATTTAAATATTTTTTGAAGAAAAAAAAATGATGAACTCATGGCGCCTAAAAACAAAACAAACAAAAAAGAGAAACACAAAAGTCAACACAAAATTAATTTATTTAAAATTTATTATTTTTTTGTAAATATTCTGCCCCCTTCAAAAATATGTCTTAACTTTAAAAAGGTTATAGGCAAAAAAATTAAATTTAAAATTTCGTATTAAAAAACCAAAAGTTTTTGGGTTTTTGAAAAGGAAATTTTAAAATAGTCCAAAAAAAGTTATTTTTGTTAAATTTTCCATTTTCATTTTTGTTAGGCTCAAATCAAAACCAAGCAACTAATTAAAGGAAAAATTGATTTGTCCAAAAAAAATTGTTGTCTAAGCTAGGAGAAAAAACACAAACAAATGAAGTTTTGAAACAATTTCTACAAATGTTATAGAAAATTTACTTTTCTTCTTTTTTTAAATATTATTATTATTCTATTTATTAAGGCTACATTAATAATTATTGTAATTATGTTTTTACACAAAAAAACCAAGCAACCAACCAACAAACAAACAAAAATCAATGAAAACAATGTACTATAATTAACTTTTAAAGCGAAAACAAAACAAACAAAAATCACAACAAAACTATTTTGTAAATTTTTCTAAAAAAAAAACAACAAACAAAACATTAGTAATTCTATTGTTTATGTTTTATTTTTTTATTTTTTACATACAAGCATTATACATACATATATAAATATGATGAAGATGATGATGATAATGAAATGATAAAACTATCTAGTTGTTTACTCTAGGAAATCTTAAGGCAATTTTAAAAATTCGTCAAAAACATATTTCCCCCTCAGTGTTTCGTTTGTTTTTCTTTTCTTTTTTTGTCATATACATACTTGTCCCCTCCCCTTCCCCCCCAAACGTCTTACTCTCTTCAGTACATCCTTTTTGTATGAAGGCCAACTAAAGATGAATAGGATAGCAAATCTATTTCGTAATTGAAATGGAAATGATGATATCTTAATTAAGAGTTATGTAACAATGAAACAAAAACAACCACAAACAACAACAATGTTTTGCTGTAATCTAAAGAAAAATGAATAATGTAAAATAAAAGAAAACTTGGCTACCAAAGTGATTTGGTAAAAAAATAATCAAAAATATCAGTTTTTTTTTTCATTTTTGTTTAAGATGTATTCTTTGTTCTGTTATTTCGGGAAAAAAGATTTGAGTTTAGGAAGAGGCTTGAATTTTAACATTCTTTAGCACATACAATTTATTTGTTTTTATTTTTATTTTTTTTTCCAAAACCCATGTCTCTTATTGGAAATTAAAATCAGAAGAAAATTACTGCAAATTCGCAAAAGTGCTAAATTTGCTAGAAATGAAATTGTTTTTGGCATTCCAGGAAAAAATATTTGAGTTTATGATTTCAAAGAAAGGGATTTGAATTTTAACATTCTTTAACACATACAATTTTTTTTTTTTTTTGTTTTTTTCCAAAACCCATGTCGGTTATTGGCAAGTATAATCAGAAGAAAATTACAGCAAATTCGAAAAAGTGCTAAAAAGTTTTTTATAGACCAAAGCTGAAGATACCTTTTTGGTACAAATTAAGTAGACACATTTCTTTTGTTCAGAGACTACCATTGAAATTTTATCTAGAATTATTCTTCCTTGGAAACCCTCCCCAAAAATTGAAGTATTATGGGAGATTTTGACTTGGACTGGACGGGTGTTAAATTAGCCGTAAAAACGTAAAACATATATCTATAAAAGAGGAAAATGTTTGTACGTTTAATTGTTTGTTTGTAATTTATGGACACGCAAAACTGCTGAACAGATATTCCGGAAAAATTCCAAGTGTTTTACAACATCGCCTGAAAGTACCATAGGCTATATATATTTTTTTTAATTCAACGTTAAACTGGAGATATAGCATCAGAATCGGAGGTACCTTCAAAAATTTTAGATTTTGTATGCAAGCCATCTATCTATTGATCGGTCATTGATACAGACTTCAAATTTGGAATGGATGACAGAATTTGGTACAAAAATCAATTTACCATATTATATTTAAATCGGTTGAGGTTTGGATATAGCTCGCAAATATATTTTCGGCCGATTTCGTGTATTTAATTGACCAAACACTATATGTGTCCAATGAAATTCGAAATAAGTAACGGAATTTGGTACAAAAATGAGTGTGCTAAATTGTATTGAAGTCGGTGCACATAGCTCCCATTTTTTTTGTCGTATTTCATGTATTGATGCACCAAACATGCCATGTATGTCAAAGGTCAATGAATTACGGAATTTGTCAAAAAATATTTTTTGTCAAATTATATTAAAATCAGTTGAGGTTTGGATATTATTTTATTGGCAACCATGGACCCCCACGCCTTTGCAATGGTATAGGCTAATAGTAAAAAAACTACACAATAAATTAATGAAGGCTACGATTCTTATGGGGAAGTTGTATTGCTACATCGAATCCCTCTAATAGCAACAGAAATGCAGTTCAACTTAAAATAATGCTGTTTCCTGTACCCTTGGCATTTGCTATGACAATTAGTAAATCACGAGGACACACTCTACGAGTATGAGGACTAAATTTAGCATGTTCCTAATGTTCTCATGTTTGTTTACGCTCCTGAAGGAAAAACAAAAAAAGTTGTATATTCTAAAGCATTATAGTAAAAACGTTTTTTAAATTCTTGAAATTGTTTTACTTTTATTTAAAATCCACAAAATATTCGTATATAAAATTTTGAATGCATATAAAATCAAAAAGGGTAGCGAAGCGCCCCGGGTGTTCAGCTAGTAATATTTTCAAATTTCCAATGTTATTTTCTTAAAAACTAGTTATGGTAGACGTATGGTTTATTCGGAGATGTGTAGTGGAAATTTGTGGTGAACTTCCATGCATCAACTCGAAAAAAGAAGGAGGGAAGGCTGATAAAAAATTAGGAAATATGTTTGTGTTTTTTTAGGCAACATCGATGAATATATTTTCTGGTTATATAATGCAAAAAGAGATCTATATCCTTGGGTGACTTGTAGTGAATTTAATGAAGAATAATTTTGTCTTTAACGTCGTTCTTCGAAAATGATGCTTTATTGGAGAAATTTGCATAAACTCACATAAGGTACGGTATTAACCTTAAAATGTGTTTTTATTACATTTGAATTCCCAGGGTTTAGGTAAGATTTAGCGTCTGAATGTATTATGGGACCTATAGTAGACTTTTATCAGCTTCATGCATCAAATCGAAGAAAGGAGGTAGAAAAATTTATCAAAAAAATTAGAAAATATTTTCGGATTTTTTGGAACATTGATTCTAATATATTTTCTTGATATTCGATGGAAAAGGAAATTTACATCCTTTGGTGACTTATAGTAAAATTTGATGACGAATAATTTTGTCTTTGACGTATAACTTCTAAAATGATGCTTTATTGGAGAATTTTGCATAATCTCGCATAAGATACGGCATTAAACTTAAAATGTGTTTTTATTATATTTGTATTCCTAGAGTTTAGCTAAGATTTAGAATCTGAACGTATTGTGGGACCTATAGTAGAATTTTATCAGAAATAAATTTGTAGAATATTTTGACTTGCTGCGATTCCGTTTAACAGCGTACTCGGTCGACGTATTTCACCACACATGTTTTTGTATGAATGTTACCGGGTGTACGACATTTCAAAATGTTGAAAAATGTCATCATTGAACAATTTTATTTTATTTATTTATTTATGTTTTTTTTTTTTTGTTAAAACGAATAATACAAAATATATGAATATTTGTAATTTGAAATTATAACAATTGGAAAATTTTTGAAAATTCATATTTTTACTGCGTAATATTAGTAATGTTATTTGGGAAATACGGACGTACCAAACATTTTGCCATGGTGGAGGTGTTGAAAATTTGTATACGCCACACCAATTTTGAGGTAACGCTGTAAAGGGTTTTTCTTAACATTTTTTAAAAAAGGATCAACAACACCACTTTGGAGGCTCGCTTAAGAGTTAAAGTTTCGATCAAACTAATCCTCGGATTGCTAGCTTTAAAATTGCCAGAGACAATCTTAATCCCAACATTAGAGGACTCCAGCATTTAAATGTGAATAAATCTTTTGTGACTCGCACTTGGCCGAAAGTGGTGAACTGCCGAATTGGGTTTTCTCTGATGAAAAAACATTCGTTGTCCAGCAGTTTGTAAACAAACAAAATAGTCGGGTTTATTTGCCAGGTCAACTGAAAATGTGCACCTTCGGCTGACCACCAGAACTCAAGCGCCGGCCATGGTGATGGTGTAGGCCGCCATAACAGCCGATGGTCGCTCTCCGCTTGTATTAATGGACCGTGGTATCAAAATAAATGCCGAACATTATCGTGAAAATATTCAAGAGGGTGTATTAAAGACTTGGACACGCAAACATTTTGCCCGCAGACCTTGGACATTCCAACAGGACTCAGCACCATCGCACTCAGCACGCGCCACCCAAGAATGGTTACCAAAATCTCCGGATACCAATCCGTTGGACTATTGTGTCTATAGTAATTTGGAGAGCAAGGTTAACGCTAAAAAATACCAAAGTGTCGATCACCTCAAGCAAGCGTTTCGCCGAGAATGGGCCAAAATACGGGGCAACATTCGGGCTGCGTGTGACGGTTTCATTGGCCGTTTGAAGGCTATAATTCGTGCCAAAGGTGACCAATTTGAACAAATCTAAACTTATGCTAAGATTTTATGCTATTTCCGACATTTTAGGCTTTCATTCAATAAAATTTAAAAAAATATATAAAAACTATGGCGTTTGACTTTTTTGCAGTTTTTTTTATCTCATCCTGTAGTTGTATTACCTGTATCTTTTTTATTTTTGGAAGGATCACAAATCGGTGGAATATATGGTAAAATCTTTAGCAAGTTCGAAATTGACAAAAAATATTTTTAAAAAATCCTATTTACATTCAATTTTAACGTAAATATACCAATATTTTTTCATCATATCATTATCGATTTGGATCCAATCATAAAAAAATAATTATGTTTAAGGTGTTTTAAAAATTAAAAATGCATATTCATCAGAAAAATATGGCATGAGAGGGAAATATGTTTAGGTTTTTTTTGAAATTGTCAAATAAAAAATAATTGTCATGAACAATTCGTTTCTATAGAACAGGAACACATCTTTTAAAAGAAAAAAAAACAATTTATGTATAAATAAAAATAAATGTAATTAAAACAATTGTTAAATATTTTAAACTTAAATGAAATTAAAAAAGAAAAAATATAAAAAAATGAAATTTTTTAATAAAATGGAAACTCAACAAAAACCAAAACACTTGAAACAAATTGTCTATTTTTCTTAATAACTAGCTATTACTACAACAAATAAATTTAAATATTACTATTTGAAAACAAAAATACAACAACAAAGAAAGGATGCTATTTTAATAAAAACATAACATAAAATGTTATGTTTGGAAATATTTTTATAACAAAAAAAAAAAAAAACAAGAACTCAAAGAAAAAGTGGAACAGCCTTTCAAATTTTTCTATGTAATTTATTCAAATGTGTAGTAGTGTTGGTTTTTTCCAAAGAAAAAAAACATGAATATTGTTTACTATCAGGTAGCTAGCATAAAAAATAAACTATTTTTTAAATTTAATAAAAAATCTTATAAATGTGGTGAAATAAAACTCTGTCTCTCTAATATAAAACAAAACAAAATCTTTGTATAAAGAATATAGCTCAAACACACACGTACACACTCAAACGCAAAAAAAACATGTAATGTTATCAACGAAGAAATAAAATATAAAAAAATAAACATCAAGTCGAAGCGAGTTGTTATAAATCTTGGACAAACATTGTTTGTAATTTTTCATTTTTTTAATTTAAAATAAATTGAATATTCACGTTGATTTTCTTATGAAAATTGATGTTGTGTAATACTTTTCTTTAATTATACCCTCAACCAAATGGCTACAGAGGTTCTGTACCCTAGGTCTCTTTTTGCCAAATCCGTTTCACAATATTTGGAGTCGCACTCGAAGGGAGTATCCGATTTAATCCAAACTTGGTACAGCGTAATATTATTGCCAAACTTAGATCGAGTTCGGAGATGGGCAATATCGGTCCACACCA